CTACACCGAAGGCCCCAGTGGCGGTGTCCACATGCGTCCGCGCCACCAATTTCGGCGCACCCCTCACAAATTTCGTGGCCCCCTCGGAGCTCCACCGAAACCGGTACCCACAATGCGGTACTCGCAACTGCACATGGTTGGGTCCTTCGTCATTTTTTTTTTTTTTTTTTTTTTTTTTTTTTTTTTTTTTCGGTGCGAAGCTATTGTGTATATTCGACTCTCTGCGTGTGCGTGCGAAACAAGGATGCCGCCACACACTCCTCACAGCCACGCAGACCCTAATAATCCAAACCACCTCAACTACTTGCGCCTGCAGAGGCTTCCTTCAAACGACTCCTCAAAATTGTGGCCGCCACAAAAGCGACCCTAAGAATCCAAACTACCTCAATTACTTGCCTGCAGAGGCTTCCTTCAAACGAATCCTCTCGACCAGAGCAGCGGAGGAGGAGAAGGAGGAGGAAGAGAAGGAGGAGGAGGACGAGGAGGGGAGAAGGACAGGCAAAGCAGCTTGCGGCGGATGCTGCGGATTACCCTGCAGCCTCTACACCGAAGGATCGTGGTGCTTTACATGCGTTCCATGATGCCTCGGAACTGGGATCTGTACAACCAGTAAGGGTCCACTGCGCCGCTCTGGTGCCGAAGGTGGGCTGTTGCGGTTTAGCAGCAATACACAGGTATAGCTACATATTTGCACGAATCCCTCCAGGCCCTCCCGAGGAGAAAATCGCGGAACGTCCATTCGCTAAAATCTATGTCTGCGTACCGGCGGGCTGCCTCCATTTGGACTGGGCAGCGCCAGTAATGCTCTATCGAATCGGATGAAGATTCTGCCTTGCAGCACAGACGCGGCGCTTGTTGCTGGAAGCGCCGGGCGCAAGTCCACACATTGAAAACAATATGACAGCAGGCAGAGACCACGGCTGGTGGTGCGATACCCCTGAGGTAGGACAAACCGCGAGTCATATGTTCAGAAGTGGCACCTGCACGTGCTAGCCCTATGAGGTCGCGCCAGGCGCGGCGACGGCCGAGGCGCTGACCGACAACATCTTCAGGCACGATGGCATGAAGGCTGGCATGCACCTTGAAATATACAGCGGCCTCGCCTCCCTGTACAGTAATGCGTCTGTCTCTCAGTGCGTCTCGGGCGGGGCTCAACGTGACCACAGACATGGAACTCAGCCACGATTGCCATCGCCACTGAAGAGGGGCCTCGTTGCATTGGATTGTCTCCTACAACTTCACGTGAAGCTCCCGCCATCGAGGACACGTATCGGTGATCGTCCTCGCCGCGGCTGCGAAGTGCAAGGCGCTGATAGAACGGAAGGGGGCCGGGAGTCCAAAGGCGTCAAGGTTGTACTCGCCATGCTTGGGCAACCAGTTCCCTGGTCCACGGGCCAGTTTGCGCAGCATGTCACGCTCTGTGGCGAGCAGATCGCTAGTAGGAGCGACCAGCTGCAATACGAAGCTGAGCACGCGGACTGCCAAGGAATTGTACAGCAATGCTGAGGCAGGAAGTCCAAGACAGAGGTCATAGATGTACCCCACTCTCGCGATTTACTTTTGTACCAGGGCAGACGATGAGGAAGTACCGGCGCCGGGCCCTAAGACGAAACCCAAATATTTGCCAGACAACGCTTTCTCGAACTGGCGCCACCCTGGGATTTCCTCCTGGATCAGCTGGGCAAAACAACGCAAAGAGACGCTCCACAGAGGGATGATAATATTTTTTGCGCCTTGCTTCGGAGGTTCGATATGCTCGCAAACTTCTGGAACAGCCAGCTGACAACTGGTCCCTCCACGAACAAATATGTATGTATGTATGTATGTATTTATGTCTGTCTGTCTGTCTGTCTGTCTGTCTGTCTGTCTGTCTGTCTGTCTGTATGTATGTATGTATGTATGTATGTATGCATGTGGTGTGCATATGTGTGTATATAGGTATGTGGTGTATGTATGTGTATGTATGTGTATGTATGTGTATGTATGTGTATGTATGTGTATGTGTATGTATGTATGTATGTATGTATGTATGTATGTATGTATGTATGTATGTGTGTAATGTGCGTACGTACGTATGTATGTATGTATGTCTGTATGTGTGTATGTGTGTATGTGTGTATGTGTGTATGTACGTATGTGGTGTGTGTGTGTGTATGTCTGTCTGTCTGTCTGTCTGTCTGTCTGTCTGTCTGTATGTATGTATGTATGTATGTATGTATGTATGTGTGTGTGTGTGGTGTGTGTGTGTGAGAGAGTGTACTAGCCCTGTTGGGCTGGTCGTGCTGCATGAGTCTTGGGGCTTGCGACCTGCCTCTCCCCAAGCGCCTGTTCTCCCTCGTCCCATGGTCCTGACGCGCCCCCCTTGGGAGGGCATGTGCGGTCCCAGCCTCTGAGGCCTCGCCCCCCCCCCGCAGGTCCCACTCGTGCGTTGAGGAATTGGCGAACGGGCTGGCTACACTGCTCGTGGCGCTACGGCCCACAAGTGCCTCAATTCTGGGCTGTTTCCTCAACTGCCTCACATGCCGTCGGCAAGCACCCAACATTCCGTCCCCCCTTTTCTGCTTCTCATTTTCCGTAATCGGCCACACCTGGCACAAGCCTTGGCCGGACACGTTGTTCGGGGTCCCCATCTGCGGTTCCCGTCGCTTCTCTCTGACCTGTCCTCCCCGTTCGCCGTCATATTCGGCGCCCTGGCGGGCTCGCCAGCGGCGCTACCGCACTGGTGAGGCCTTTCTGGTGTCGCCGCCGCCACTGCTGGCCTTCGGCACCCTTGGTCCTTGACGTGCCCTTCTGCCAATCGTCTCGCCATGGCATCCCTGTAGCTTCAATCTCGCCTGCGCCCTTTCCCCGTCTTCTGGCCATGTTGTTTTCATTCTGGTCGGTTCCGCTTGTCCGCCCCCCACTGTCTGATCCCCCGGTCATCCACGCCCGGACGACTGATGACCAGCTGCTGGCGCTGCTTGTTCCAAGCCGCATTCTTTGACCTTTCTACGCCCTGTCGCTGCGCGCGGGGCCGCGACGCCACAAGGGTATGTGTGTATGTGTGTCTCCCACTGCACCTTTGCTGCCCGCCAGGTATGCGCATAGCACGGTTGATCCAACATGGATCCCTGACGCTCTGCTGAGGGGCCCGCCGTGCGCGCGTCCGCCCGTTCGGTGACTTTCTCCGCCTCGTCGCTGCGCGCGAGACCGCGACCGCCAACAAAAATGTGTGCGTGTGTGTGTGTGTGCCCCTGCACCCCTCTGGGCTTCGCGGCTGGTGGTATCTGGCTCTCGCTTCGCTGCCGCTCACTGTCATGCTCCGTCGCGGTTGGCTGCGACTGCCACTCGCTGCATCTGGGCTCTTCTCCTGGCTTGCTCAAACCTGTGGTACACCGCCCGCGCTGCGTGCTCTGGTCCCGCAGTTCGGCGCTTGCTCGCCTCCCCTTTGCATTCTTGCCTGCCCTGCACATCGCGTGGCTTTTTTCTGCCCAACGGTCGACTTGTTTGATTCTCACTGGCAGCGCATTTTTTCCCACGCTGCCTCCCATAAAAACTCCTCCAACTTGCGAAGGCTATTCAAAATTGCGCACGTCCCGCCTAACTCAGTGCACCGCCAATTCGAAGCATGTGTGATTCGGATGAAATTCGTGTGGAAATGTGTAGCTGTGTATCTGCATGGAACGACATCATTCCGTTGTAGATGCACGAAGAAACTCACACTATGTAAACTATCGGGATGTAGCTGAATGGTGCCGCATACACGTGGGAATATCCAGAAACACGGATAACAACCATTATTCGGATGCAGGCCGGATATCGCCACAAAAACACGGTAACAACAAAACTACAATGGCTGGTGCGAACCCGCAATATCTGGAGCATATTCAATGAGCGCGTGCGTGTCCTGGTAAAACGGCGTAACTGGATTCAGACAATTCGCATGCCTGTGCTACTGAAGCGACGTTGCAAGCTGGAAAGAGCCGTGATGTGTTGACCAATGCTGCGGTGGGCTGACGTGGGCTTTCCCAGACCGAGCACAGACGCGCTGAGGTGAGCGTGGCCCTTGCGGGAACTAGACGAATTGCTGCCTTGTCTTGCTCTGGACTGATTTGGAGTAGGCTGAGGCGGGTCAGGTTTGCCTTCGCCGAGCAGAACTGGTCTGAACTGGGTTATGGTGGAAGAAGCCAGACTTAAATTCGCCGGCCCAACGGGCCAGAGGCGTGCTAAGATCTCCGGTAACTGGTAAACAGTATTTCTAGTTCGCGCGCGCGGGGCGGCCCCTGGGGTCCCTGGATCAAAAGTACCCCGGGAGGAGCCCGGGACACGCCCGGGACACGCCCGAGACACGCCCGGGACACTCCCCCAGATCCTCCAGGATCGCCCCAAGAGGGCCCCAAGAGGCCCCCAACACAATCTAAGAGAGGTCCGAGACGCCCGAAGATCGCTCCACGGCGCCCAAGATGGCTCCAGACGGCCCAAGACGTCTCCAAGATGACCCAATAAGCCTCCAAGATGCCCCAAGAGAACTCCAGGAGCACTCCCAAGAGCGCCCCAAGAGGCAAAAATCAATGTTTTTTCTTAGGTTTTGGACAGATTTGGGCGTTTCAGCCTTTTCGGTTCCCCGGTGCCCCTAAACGGCTCAAGAGGCCTCCGAGATCGCCCCAAGAGTCTGATTTCGAGGATGTTCATGATGGATATATCGTGAGGGGTCTGCTCGAGTCTCCCGTCCCTGCAGCCTGTTTGGCTCGGCGGTGGGCGGGTGGGTTTTATATATCAGGCGGAGTGCCGCCACAGGGCGGCGCGGGTTGGCGCGCCGCCGCTTCGCGCAGCGAAAAGGGTTCGCGTCACATTCTTCTTTCTATTCAGAGACTTACGTCACGAACGACGGTGGCGAGAAGGGCCCTAGGGTGCCCTGGTATTCAGATTGGTAGCGAGAGCGTAGTGACGACCACGGTCTACATTGTGGCGATCACGATCGACCACGGTCTACTTTGTGGCGATCGCGATCGACGACAACAATGTCGAGTGGCGCGACTACGACCGGAGGAGCTGCTAGCGGTTCAGCAGCACTCCGATTAGACGTCCCATCTTGGGACGGAGAGCCCGACAAGCTGCTTGCATACAAGTTCGACGTCGGGCTCTTCAGCAAGAGCTATAAGGTGCAGGACAGGTACGTGGTGGGACCCCAGCTGGTAAGAGCTCTGGGGGCAAGAACACGTAGACTGGCACAGGCGTGGCCAGACATCGACAATATTGATGAGGTCACCGACGAGGGCAAACTGACAGGAAGGCAACGCGTCTTCGACTTCCTCTTGTCGAAGCTTGACCTGTCCAACGTGAACGAGATGGGTAACTCTGCGGAGAACATCTTCAACAAGCTCCAGCGGGAGCCGGGTGAGGGCTTCCCCGACTGGACGGCGCGCTGGGAGGCGGACGAGCGCGACCTCTTGTCGCAGCTGAAGGCGGTGGACAGCTCGGTCGAGGAAGTTATCGCAGCGCCGCAGAGGACGTGGTGGTACCTCGCCGATCGCGCCTGAGCCCTGTGGCCAGGGGCGGGATCACCGCTACGGCGGCGGGCGACTACGAATACGGCAGTGCGTACAAGGCGCTGTGCACGAGGTACCCGCTGGAGGCGCTAAAGGAGATCGACGGGGGTCGCGAGAAGAAGGACAGGCGCGCGGGGTTCTTCGGCGAGGTCGAGGAGGCCGAGCAGGAGGACTACGACTTCGAGGACAGGTCCGCGATTGCGGACATTGTGGACCAGCTGGTGAACTTAGCGGACGAGGAGGACTCGACCCTCTTCGAAGACTCCGAGCTTGTCGACGACTACGAGGACGGCATCTACGCGGAGTTCAGGCAGCTGGGCAGGAACTTCAAGGGCGCGAGGGACCTCATTAGGAAGGTCAAGGTGGCAAGGGAATACTACCCCGTGCTCGCTCCTCGACTGGCAGAGGGGCCCCCTCGTCCTCGACAACTACGCGATGGTCAACGATCTTCTCGTCAGGACGGTGGTCAAGAACCTGCGCGTGACAGGCGTAGGATGAGATGTCTAGCTTGCCGCAAGTTCGGACACCAGGCGAAGGGTTGCCCCGAGAGGACGAAGGACCGCGGCAAGCGACAGCCCAACGAGACGACCTCGTTTGCGCTTCTAGAGCTCGGCGACCTGGTGCTCCTCTTGGACGACGCGGGCGGCGTCTGGGCGATCCTTGACTGCGGCGCCACGAGGAGCCTCATCGGTGTGACGATGGCCGAGCACCTCATCTACGACATGGAGGAGAAGCACAGCATGCTGTTCGACGTGGTGGAACGGACGCGGCACTTCACTTTCGGCGACGGCAAGCGCAAGAGCTCGATGGGCACCATGACGGGTGCCATCTTTCTCGGTGACGACAAGGAGAAGATCGAGATCTCGATCATGGACAACGAGGTGCCCCTGCTGATCGGCATGGACGTGCTGGGGCCTGATCATACCAACGCCCTCATCGACTGCGGTAACGGATACCTGATGCTGCCGAAGATCTCACATCACGTCTTCCAGTGCCGGAAGATGCCCAGTGGTCACCTCGCCATCAACGTGACGACTCCGACGTGGTGGCAGAACATCCCACGCAGCCTCCCGGACATTGTCGGGATCACACAGTGCAGCGCCATGAAGGACGAGGCTGAGACGTCCGCGGTCGTGGACGAGGCGGTGCTGGAGCTGGCGCCCGCGGCTGGCGCGGGGGCCTCGAGCTAGGGACAGCACCCTCTGGTGGATCCGAGAAAAGTTCTTTCCTCTAGTCCACCGGGGGGGCCCAAGAAGACTCCAGAAAAGCCTCACGCCCTCAAGAGATCTTCAGACCTCCCGAAGCTCGAAGACGCTGACAGGAGTCAGGATGTCCTCGCTGCACCCCCTGGGCATGCTCCTACATCCCCAAGCCTCTCGAGATCTCCTACAGCATCTCCTACGAGGGCATCTTGGGGACCATCTTCGGGGACCAAGAGTTCGAGGGCAACGATCAAAGAAACCGAGACATCTCCAAGAGCGCAGACTAGTACGAGTCCGAAACTCCCGACACGGCAATGTGAGCCTCCTCCCGATCCTGATGATTCGGATGCGTACCGAGCTCTTTCGGCTCGAAAGGGCGTTCAATCAGGAGGAGATCCTCAATATTCATCTACGTTTCCATATCCAGCGGATGTCATGCCGCCGTGGCACCATCTCGTCGCCTTCGGGTATACCACCGCCGCCATCCCCTACTACGGAGCATCCGCGAGATCGCAGAAAGACTCCTTTCCCGTCAAGGCTGCCGACAACAGCCGAGGTGAGCGCGTCGACGTCAGCTCAGATCCAGTCCGAGGCCAGGGTCATACAAGACGAGTTCGCTTCTGTACCCCCAAAAGATGTGACCACGAAGGCTGCTGGATCGAATCCGACCGCCACCATCGTCCAGGCGGCCAAGTCCAAGGCGCCGGGATGTCAGAAGTGCGGCTGCTGCAGACAACCAGGTCGCAAGCGGAACGGGTGTTCGTGCACAAGAGGCCAGACCCACCAATGTCGGCTGTGGGAGGCCGGGTACCCGTCGCTGAACTTCGTGCAAAACTACCGTCCACCTCGTCGGAAGAACGACCCGCCACAAGCAGGCCCCACCGAGCGCATGATTCCCAGGCCGGCGAGCCCAGAGGTCAGTTGGCGGTGCAGGTCCGAGGTGATCTACCTGAGGTGGAGGCGGATGCTGTCCAAGATCCTGAAGAGACTGGCGAACGACCCGTCCTCGGAATCCTTCGAGATGCTGGACGACTCACCCGAGAAGGAGATGGTCAGCAAGAGAGGGCGCGAGTGTCAATGACCAGCGAGGACCTGGACATCATGCAGAAGGCGATCGATCAGTACGATCGGGACTACACGAAGGAGATCGGCGACGACGTTAACTTTCTGTCCCGCAACGGCCGCTACGACCTGCTCGAGGTCTGCACGCCTCCGAAATCTCGTCTCTCCCAGGCGGTGATCGACCTCGGTGGAACTGCCTTCCGAGCTGGGGTACACAACGGGTTCGACATGGCTACGAAGACTGGAGTACGACGGCTTACTCTGTGCAGTCGGCAACATCGGCCTCGACGCATCGTCATGAGTCCCCCGTGCACCGCGGACTGCCAACTCCAGAACTGGAATAAGAAGACCCCAGAGGACTGCGAACGTCTAAGTAAAAAGGTGCAGCAGGCTTGTCCGATACAAGCTGGGTGCGAAACCATCATGTCAGTCGGGCTCCAATTCCGTGGGACCCAGATCGACCTGGAGCAGCCGCAGAGATCTCATAGCTGGGGACGTTCGGAGGCACTGAAGCGCATCAGGGAGCAGACCTACGAGACGCTGGTGTCTGGCTGTGCTTACGGCCTCCGCTGCCCCCGCCGCGGTCTCCTCTTGCCCAAGGTCTGGAGGATCTGCTCTACCGACCCCGAGCTGCAGAAGGCCATCGGCAAGCGCTGCAGTAGTCGCCCTGGTCGGCATGACAACCACGAGCATGGTGAGATCCTCGGGGGGAAGGTGGTAGCGGCCACAGCGTTCTACCCCGAGGCGTTGTGCAAGGCCTGGGCGAAGCACCTTCTGCGTGCCAGAGGTGGTACTACAGCTGGACCCTCAGCTCTCCTGGCGACGGACCAGGACACTGACGATGGCATCTTCGAGGGCATCGACGAGGACGGCGATCAGGAGATGGAGGAACCGCAGGCGTCAGACGAGGAGCTCGACGAGGATGACCCCAGGGAGCTCTCCAAGGACGGCGGCACGCTGAGCACCAAGGAGGCCCAGGAGATAGAGCACCGCCTCAGCCGACTTCATCGCAATCTGGGTCACCCCAGCGTCCGAACCATGTTCAAGATTCTTAAGAACTCGGGGGCGAGCATCCAGGTTCTGAAGATGGTCAAGAAGTTTCAGTGCCACGCCTGCGACTCCTCGGTGTTGCCGAAGGCCGTCAGAACGGCTGCTGGCATCGACATTCCCGAGGTCTTCGAGGTGATGGGGAGTGACGGTCTCGAGTGGACCGACCCTGTTGATGACGCGACCTACTTGTTCACGCTGAACCTTGACGAGGGGTCTGGACTCGCGCAGATCTTCAACCGCGGCGACAAGTCCCAGAGGTCCGGCAACCGATCAGCGGCGGACCTCCTAGAGACCTGGAGATCGTGGACGAATCACTACCGCACTCCTCGCCTCATTCGCTGCGACGCTGAGGGATGTCATCGAGCGGAACTTACCAAAAGCTGGTGCAGTGCGCGCGGGATCGGGATGTTCATCGCTCCTGGCGAAGCGCACTGGCAAATGGGCAAGGTTGAGCGCAGGATTCAGCTGTTCAAGCGGACACTCACTAAGTTCAGGAAACAGAATCACGACTGCGACATCGACGAGGCCATCAGCCAGGTCACGCACGCGATCAACGATCTTGACAAGATCGGGAACCATTCACCCTTCGTACACGCCTTTGGTACTGGAGGCCATGGGGGCTCAGGCAACCCCTTTGCCATCGTGGACGACAGCAACGGGGAGTCCCGGGAGCAGAGGCGACTTCTGGCACGTCAGAGCTTCATCGAGGTTGAGTACTCAGAGCGACGCCGACATGCAGAACATGCCCGCAGCCGCGTGACTACTCGCTGGAACACTGGCGAACACTGCTACTACTGGCGGAAGGGCCGTGGGCCTGTCAAGGCAACCTGGTATGGTCCAGCGCGCGTCTTAGTTCAAGAACAACGTGTACTTGCTGGCTCTACCCGCCCAACTTCAGTCGTGTGGATCTCGCACGGCGATGTTCTACTTCGGTGTGCTCCTGAACAACTGCGTCCAGCTGCGGAGGCCGAGCGAATGGTCGTGGAACTCAACAACATGGAGAGACGCGGGGCTACTATGTCCGACTTGATGGAGGTCGCCCGCCGCGGAACGTTCGAGGACCTCACTAACGAGAGCCGACCGCGCATCCAGAACTTCGAACCGCAGGCGATCCAGCCGTCCGAACCTCCTGAGGACCAAGACGATCGGATGGACGAAGAAGCTGCTGAACCTGATCCCTTGGACGGACGTACGGAACCAGCAGGCGAGCCGACGCCGCCTGAATCGTCCCCGCCTTCCCCTTCAAGTAGCTCCTCCATCGAGCAGCCTGTCTCGAAGCAGTCTCGGTTAAGTTCGCCGTCCAGAGCGAGCTCGGCCCCACCTGCGGAACTACCGCATCGACTCTGGCGCATGGCCTCCAACGGCGACGAGACCACCTACCGACAGTCACCTGCTGAACGAAGACAGGACCGACCTGGGCCCTACTCCGAGGGCAAGCCAACAGTCGAGGACAACGATGAGGAGCTCTTCTCCCGGATCGCCTTCGACGGGAACCGGGGCGGCACCGACTTCGAGCTGATCGACGAGAACATGACGGCCTACTTCGAGATGATCAAGTCCGAACTTGCGGACAGCCAGGGCGGACGTCGTCTCACTTCTCAGATTCTGGACTGCTTCGTTGCCAACCAGAAGCGGAAGGATAAGATCGAGTTTCACTGTGGGAAGCTTTCCCCCTCCGAGAGGGCTGAGTTCCGCAAGGCCATGGCGAAGGAGGTCGCCAACTGGAAGCAGTACAAAGGTCTCCGTCGTGTGCCCGTTTCCGAGGTAAAGGACCCTGCGGGCGTGATCAGGTGCCGCTGGGTACTGACGCGCAAGAGCGATGGGACCGCGAAGGCGCGCCTCGTCCTCCTCGGGTACCAGACCAAGGACGTCGGACAGGAGCCGGCTGCCTCACCAACGGCCTCGCGCCGCGCTCGGAATCTACTCCTCACGGTCGCGGCCGCCAACTCCTGGACCATCGTCGAGGGCGACGTGACCAGTGCGTTCCTGCAGGCGAACGACCTGAAGAAGGACCTCTTCGTGGAAGCCGACGAGGCGCTCTCTGCTGGGTTTGGTGTTCAACCTGGCCAAGTGCTACGCGTGGTGAAGCCAGGGTGCGGCATCGGCGAGGCTCCTCGCAAATGGTGGCAGACGGTGAAGCAGGACTTCGCCAAGCTGGGGCTGCAAGCGTGCGATCTCGAACCATGCCTGTGGAGTCTACGCTGTCCTGAGACCATGGCGCTGCTGGGGCTCATCATGTGCCGCGTGGATGACTTCGTTCTCTGCGGAGACCGAGACCATCCATCACGGCGGAAGGCGCTGAAGAGCATCAAGGACCTCTGCGCGTGAGGCACCTGGGAGGACATGGGCGACGGGATCGACTCCATCGAGCAGTGCGGCGTTACGATCGTGAGGAACGAGAAGGGTTTCTTCCAGCACCAGCAGGGCTACATTGACAAGCTGAAGGAGATCTTCCCGAAGTACCCGAAGGCCAAGAGCGGCGACCGATTGACCGAGGCGGACCAGAGTACTCTGAGAACTTGGTGTGGAGCTCTTTCTTGGCTTGGTGTCAATGCACTTCCCTGGGTTTCAGCATGGGTTGCCGAGGTTCAAAGCAAGACACCCAATGGTGACTACAAGCTCTTTTCGATAGCGAACAACATTACCAAGATGGTCAAAGCCAATCGGACTGACGGCATCCAGATCTTTCGCCACCAACTGCCAGGATGCGGACGAGGTGGTCCCGATTTTCGTATCTACACCTGGTGCGACGCTGCTTGGGCCAGCCGACCAGATGGACATTCCCAAAGAGGTCACGTCACAGCTCTCAGTTCGGCAGAAAGACCTTTTCAAGAGGCATGCGACTTTACCGTCTTGGACTGGGGATCTCGCAAGCTCAAGCGGGTTGCCAGGTCCAGCCTGTCCGCAGAGATCCAGGAGGCTAGCGACGCGGAGGGCGAGCAGATGATGGTGCGCCTGGTGCTCTACGAGGTGCTCTTTGGTTCGGTCGATCTCCACAACCGTGCTGCTGCTCTGCATCACATCCCAGGAGCTCTCGTGACGGACTGCAAGGCGTTCTACGACGGCGTGGTGAAGTCTGAGTCGGCCGGCTTGGGCCTCGATGAAAAGAGGACGGCCATAGAGGCGCTCGCCTTGCGCCGGGCCCTCGAGGAGGGCGAGACGATCGTGCGCTGGGTGCATAGCCATGCCCAGCTGGCCGACGGCATGACCAAAGCCAGCCAGCAGGCCTTCAACGTGCTTCACTCTTTCCTGAAGAGCCAGCGCTGGAAGATCGTTCACGACGAGAGGTTCCTGTCGGCTCGCAAACGTCGGCCCTTGGTAAAGGGATCTTCGACGAGACGACCGAGACCGACCACAGCGAGGCCAAGAAGATCCTGGAAGGCAGGAGGCGGGTCCAGCCCCCTGCGAGCGACGTGGCCACGGCCGGTGCCACGCACGACAAGCTCGAGCAGATCTCTTTTCCCCCTGTCTGATTTCGAGGATGTTCATGATGGATATATCGTGAAGGGCCTGCTCGAGTCTCCCGTCCCTGCAGCCTGTTTGGCTCGGCAGTGGGCGGGTGGGTTTTATATATCAGGCGGAGTACCGCCACAGGACGGCGCGGGTTGGCGCGCCGCCGCTTCACACAGCGAAAAGGGTTCGCATCACATTCTTCTTTCTATTCAGAGACTTACGTCACGAACGACGGTGACGAGAAGGGCCCTAGGGTGCCCTGGTATTCAGAAAGAGGGCCCAAGAGGCCCTCAAAAGGGCCCCAAGACAGCCCAAGACGGCTCCAAGACGGCCCCAGAGGCCTCCAAGACGGCCCAAGAGGGCCCCAAGAACGCCCCCAACACGGTCCAATATAGGTCCGAGACGCCCGAAGGTCGCTCCACGACGCCCAAGATGGCCTCCGGACGGCCCAAGACGTCTTCAAGATGGCCCAAGAAGCCTCCAAGATGCCCCAAGAGGCCTCCAAGAGAACTCCCAAGAGGGCCCCAAGAGGCAAAAACCTGTGCTTTTCCTTTGGTGTTGGACAGATTTGGGCGTTTTAACCTTTTCGGTTCCCCGACGCCCCTAAACGGCTCAAGAGGCCTCCAAGATCGCCCCAAGAGGGCCCAAGAGGCCCCCAAGAGGGCCCCAAGACGGCCCAAGACGGCTCCAAGACGGCCCCAGAGGCCTCCAGGACGGCCCAAGAGGGCCCCAAGAACGCCCCCAACACTACACAGCTCCCGACGCCGCAGCTCCACACTGCAAACGACCACTCGGACAGGCGACCACGGTGTGACATTATGGGCCGGCGGAATGAGCGAAGCGATTAAATAAAGTTGATGGAAGCGGTCTGGACAAAGCAGGGGTGCGTTGGAATGATCTTGAATGAACTGGGCTGGGCTTAGCCCAACGGGGCTGCGCCGCAATGAGAATTTCTGAAATGGACGGAACGCGCCGAATTGTCCTAATCAGGCTGTTCTGAGCTAAGCATGACTGTCATGGAACGGGCTGGGCTGGGCGCCACTGCTATCGGCATTCGTGTCGTATGCACATTTGTTGGCCGCGCGCACGGATAAACACGGCGCGTACTTCAATTAATCTCCTGCCACATGCGAACACATTCTCGACGCTGCTTCTGGATGCCGATCTGTCTGCCGCGGAAGCCGGCGACGTCTGTTTCACCTTCGGTCATTCTTTCTGTCTTTCACTCACCTTGTCCGTCATTTATTTCATTTCTCTGCAGGTCCCTGCCTTCACTTCCCAGTCGGCACTGTCCTCAATTCGTCACTCCGATCGTCCCCATCACTCCACCTCCTTTTCTTAACACTCGGCACTCCTTGCAATCTTGCCCCAATATCGCTCTGGTTGGACATTTTCAAAGTGTGCGGAATCACAGCAAATCGTTCGGCAAATATGTATACACAAACAGGCCTCGTGCCATGCGCGAATCGCCCCCCTGTTCAAGTGTACTATGCCATACAACATGCCATAACAAGCTGACTTTTGGCATCAATGCATCTGGGGTCTGAATTCGCGAGAAACTGGCGGCATTGCTCCAATCGTGACTGTGAGCGCACAACGTCCCTTGAATGTGTCTTCAATGACCGTATCGAACAATATGGTGTTGCCTGGCACATCTGGAAACTAAGATGATCATCATCAAAACGGTGTCTGGATTTTTCATTGCCCCCTTCACGTGGAAGTGGACTGCATCAATGTGGGCTCGGATGTGGAAGCCTCCGAAAGAGAACGCCAACACGCAGAAATCACACACATAGATAAGACAATCCGTTGGGGCCTTCAGGCTGCGTGGATTAGGATTAGGCTTGCTGCTCCCTGCGCCAATTTCAATTTCCAATGTCCTATGTGATGGTTCTACTGCGTGATTCCGACTGTAAGTTGTTGAAATCCGCGCGAAGAAGAACCCCAAACCACCTCTTCACCATGCACTCCGGGTGGTCTCAGAGTTCCTGGGGGGGTCGTGGGACACGTGAACATACATGAGCTTCGCGCCCCAGAGGCAAAGAACCAACTAAAATACTCGATGCTTGCGTGCCCGAAACCATAAGCCTTCGTCGTAATGTATGCGATATTCGCGTCCCCGAGGCTTGTAGATTACACGATATTTGCGCCGCGGGGGCCATACACCATAATACAATACACCACAATCGCGTCCCCGCAGCAACAATCCCGTGTACAATGAACGGTGTTTGCGTTCCCGAAGCCATAGTCCATGGCAGATTATGTAATATCTGGGTCCTCGAAGCTATAAACTTCGTCGTTTATTATAGATTCGCGTCCTTCAGGCCACGACCCCGCGTAAAACATAGAGCATTTAAGCCAAATCGAAATTTATGTGCCCGAAGCAACGATTTTGCAAATGACGCGATATTCGCGTCCTCGACGCTACGATCCTTCGCAAATTATATACTGTTCGAGTCCCCGAAACCACGATCCCTGGTAAATTACGCCGTCTTTGCGTCGTGGAAACCACGATTGCTTGCAAAACTCCATCACCATTCTCATTGGCGTCAGTACCAACATGTCTTGGAAACGGCGCCACGACATGTCAGTATCAACATCTCATTGGCGTCAGTATCAACATGCCAGTATCGATCTGACAATGGGGGGCCGCGGCAGGGGGCGAAACCCGTACGGATGTCCGTATGTAAAACTATGCTAGCCAACGCTGACACTAACCAGAGTGTTCCTAGTAACCTGGCTTCGGCAATTTTTGTGGTGCCATCCACGAAGTGCAATCTATGTTATGCAACCTATGCTGTGCAGTATGCGTGGTGCAATATGGGTTACACTAAGCTCTGCAACACAGTCCATGTGGCTCAATCTATGTGGTGCAATCCCTATTTTGCAGGATATGTTGTGCAACTTATCTTGTGCAATCGATGTGGTGCGATCTATGTGGTGCAACTCACTTTGACCGTCTTGAAGCTGTCCTCTCCACTGCTCGTGCAAACATCCCACCCTCCCACCCGCAACTTGGTCGCGAGACCTCTTACGACAAGACCGTGACTGTAGGTACCAGATGGCACTTGGCCACGACCCCGACGCCGACGACGACAGCGACAACGACGACGACGGCGCCGCCGACACCGACGACGACGATACCGACGACGTCTCCAACGACTTCGACGACGACAGCGACCACGACGACGACGACACCGACGACGACGACTCCGACGACGACGACGACGACGCCGACGACGACGACGACGACGAAGACAACGACGACGACGACGACAACGACGTCGCCAACGAAGACGACGACGAGGGAGGAGGGAGGACGACGACGGCGACAACGACGACAACGACGACAACGAGGGAGGAGGGAGGACGGCGACGACGCGAACGACGAAGAAGGAGACGGCGACGCCGACGACGACAACGACGAGGGAGGAAGGAAGACGACGACGACGACAACGACGACGAAATAGGAGCGACGACGACGAGACGCCGAGCGGAGCAGGCACGCCTGGGTCTTTTTTCGCCGCCGCGCGGCACGGGGCCAACTCATCGCCTGAGCGCAAAGGTGACCCTAGGCACGGGTGCCCTTTGGTGCGTGGCTTCAGGAGCCGCGGAGGGGCCACATCCAGGCGCGCAGTCCACTGCTCGGGGGACCCCCGTGGGCCCGCACCACACCCAGACACGTGACGCCCTGTTTTTTTTTCAATGCGCGGTTCCGGAGGTCCCGATCGACGGCCCATGAGGCACCCAAGACGGCCCCCAAAAGGTGACCAAGAGAGGGAACACGAACCGAAAATCCCAGCCTTCTGCTCCGAGAGGCCCCCAGGAGGCCCCAAGAGGCGCCCAGGAGGCTCCACGACGCCCCCAAGAGGCCC